TAATTCAGTTCAGAGTTTTAAAGAGATGTTTGAGGAGTAGCTATTGGAACTGGTTATCTCTTTGTAGATAGGCTGTCTCCTGATAAGGATTGGTATTCAAGTTATCTCATCCCAGGCTACAACAGGCAGCATTACAAAATTAACAGAACTTATGAAGGGTTCAAGAAACTATTCACAAACTCAGTCCAGGAAGCCACTACTCATCACTGAAAGCAAGGCCTTGAGATGAAAACTAATTTTCATCCTTAGAACAAGAGGAGCTGCCTATTGCCTATGTTGAAACTCAACTATTTAAAATATTTGTTTTGTTCCATCTCAATTCTTACCTGATCACCCTGGACAATCTTTAATGTATTTCCAATTTTGTGTACTTGGTAACACATGATAATCTGATATGAGCACTCCCCAAACTGTTGATAATAATAGTAACATAAAATGATCTGAAGCAGTTTTTTTTCCCATGATTGCAGATTCCGTATGTTCTTTTCCTGTTGTGCCTCTGCCCCTTTCCTGGGAAGTCATGCAGAACCAAAGCGTTGTGACTGAGTTTGTGCTCCTGGGGTTCTCACAGAATCCAAGAGTTCAGAAAACAGCATTTGTGGTATTTCTGTTGGTCTACATCGCAACGATGGGGGACAACATGCTGATCGTGGTGACCATTGTCTGCAGCCCTGCTCTGCTGGGCTCCCCCATGTACTTCTTCTTGGTCTTCCTGTCATCTCTGGACGCCTGCTTCTCCTCGGTTGTCACCCCAAAGACAATTGCAGACATGCTCCGTGAGAGGAAAACCATCTCTTTTGAAGGCTGCCTGATGCAGGTCTTTGGTGTACACTTCTTTGCTGGGGAGGAGGTGATTGTCCTCACAGGCATGGCCTATGATCGCTGCATGGCCATTTGCAAGCCCTTGCACTACTCCTCCATCATGAACAGGAGGCTCTGCTGTGTTCTGGTGGGCGTAGCCTGGACCGGGAGCTTCCTGCACTCCATCATCCAAATTTCCTTTACTTTCCACCTGCCATTATGTTGCCCCAATGTTATCGATCACATCATGTGTGACCTGTATCCATTACTGAAGCTTGCCTGCACTGACACACACATCTTGCGTCTTTTGGTGGTTGCCAATACTGGGTCTTTCTGTATCTTCATCTTCTCTATGTTGCTTGTCTCTTATGGTGTCATCTTGTTCTCTCTGAGAAAGCACAGTTCTGGAGGGCACAGGAAGGCTCTCTCCACCTGTGGGTCCCACATTGCTGTCATGGTTCTATTTTTTGTTCCATGCATTTTTATGTATGCACGACCTCCATCTGCTTCCTTCTTTGATAAAGTCGTAGCCATATTTTGCATGATGTTAGCTCCTTTGCTCAATCCTATGATTTATACTTTCCGGAATAAGGACATGAAAAATGCCATAAAGAAATTGTGGAAAAGATTGATGGTACTTTCTGATGAAAAATAAAACATTAGCCTTCTGAAAGAATTAATCTAAGATAAAGATGTCAAGATGGCCTTAAATATTTATGGGTTGGATGATGTTTATATGCTTGAAAGTAGTGCAATATAATAGAAAAAGGATTTGCAAAGATCTGTGAAATAACATTTTCACACCAGATTACCAATCAGCTCTGAGCTGGCAACTCAGTATCCTCATGTGTCTTTCAAAATAATTTGAATATATGCTTACTTTTTTGTGTGTGTACCAAGGATCAAACTTGGGACCTTGCACTTGTGAGGCAGGCAGCAGAACCACTGAGCTAAATTTGGTGCCGCCACTTGTCTTGCAAGCCCAGGGTCCAGGGTTCAATCCCTAGTACCAAAATAAATAAATAAATAAGCTTTAGATTTGTTAAAGATTTGCCTCCTAGATTATGTTCTATCACTAATTAAATGTTTGGCCTTTTGTAAATTCCACTTCTCTGTGCATCAGTTTCTTTGGTTAAAGTAGAATTAATAAGAACACAAAAATATTCCTTCTGCACTCATAAGAGCCTGGGAGTTTTTTCTTTTCACGTACTATGTATTTTGGACATTGTAAACGTGTGTCTTCAAATTCCCATTAAATTGGTGAGGAAATGGAGTCTCAAAGAATTCAAGTGAAAACAAGTCCAGTCCATTGGTGATGGCAAAAACAGCAATGGAAAAGGTCTTGGGTGGTGGTGTTCTCTTTGGTGTTTCTCTCAGATTCAGGCTTGCTAATTAGCATCTTAAGCAAATGCATCCAGGGGTCTACTCAAGGGCTGTCCTGCCTTGGTTTCTGTCAATCATCTCTCCCTCACCCTTACTCTGCACATCTCGCTTCACCCTCCTTGTACACAGACAGCAGGCAGCAGCACGCCTAGCAGTGCATTGGGTGGTAACGTGACCTCTGGGATCAGAAAGTAATTTCATAATGAAGTCTTTCTGTCCTTTGTACATTGTGAGTTCTAGCTGTCTACCTCCCAGGAATGTTCATAGCCACAATGCTCTTGTGAGTAATTGCAACACATATGTTTACACAAGCACTCAATGCTGTTTTCTTTTCCATTTTTCTATTTATATTGATTTAAAACATAACATGAGATTAGAAATGGAAAAAAGCTAACTTTAATAATATGAAAATTAATAATGTTACCACTCGCCTTTTACAAAATGGAAAACTGACCACTGAAAGGCCTAAAATGCTCAAATGTATGTAACTATCAGGTGATGGGCAGGACTCACACCCACCAAACAGACACCAGGGTCTACCTGCTTCACGGACTTCCACACATCCTGAAGACATGGATTAAGAGAATCATACTGAGAAGAGAATAGAGATTCGCGCCTGCAGCTCAGGAGTTTAATCAATTGACCCTAACATTTGCTGTCACCCATGGTCTGTCTCAGCTACGTTGCTTACTGGCTGCTGAGGGTTATGGTTTCCTGGAGCGACTGAAGTTGAAAGCCTGCCCTAAACATATGCAAACATTTGAGGAAATTACCATAAACAGCCAATGCAGTGAGGAGCATGATATTTAATTCACATTATTTCAAAAGAGAAACTAGCGGAAGAATTCACTGACTAGTTTTTTTCTTTTTTAGTTAATTGGTACATTTTGGTATACAGTACAGTTACATTCAACATTGGGATCTTGTACCTTTACACGACAGGTCTTGGTTCTCATTTTTCCCCTTGTCCCTGCCCTCCCTTCACCCCCTCCTCCCCTCCCCATTTACAAACACTTTATTTCCATTTTTTCATTTTCTCATATTTTTTTTCTTTTCCCTTATTATCTTTCCCCTTCCCTTCCCACTTTCCCTACACCTTTAGCCCTTTTCTTTCTATTTCACATCGTCAATTGTCTTATTAGGATCTATGTACTACTATAGTCTTTCACACCAGAGAAACTATTTACACATGTGTGACTTATTTATTTCACTTAGGAATATATCCTCAATATGTATCCATCTTCCTATGAATGAATCTAATTTCTCATTCTTTATGGCTGAGTAATATTCCATTTTATAGAAAAACCACATCTTTATCCAGTCTCCAACTGATGGGAAAATGGGCTGTTTACAAATTTTAGCTATTACAAGTTGTGTTGCTATAAATATAGGTGAATATTTATCTCTGTGATATGGTTCTCTTAATTCTTATGGAAAGATACCCAGCAGAGGAATGGCTGGGTCAAATGGAACCTCTAGTCCCAGCTCTTTGAGGTGTCTCCATATTGATTTCCATATTGGTTGCACCACTCTACACTCCCACCAACAATGGAGAAGGGTTCCTTTCTCCCCACAACCCTGCCAACATTTGTTACTGTGTGATTTCTTGATAGCAGCCATTCTTTGTGGGGTGAGGTGGAATCTCAGTGTTGTTTTCATCTGCTTCTCTCGAATGACCAGTGATGTGGAACTTTTTTCATATATTTACTTGCTGCTTTTACTTCTTTGTCTGAGAAATGTCTGTCATTTCAGATGCTCAGAGTTCACTGACCTTGAATGCCTTCCTTTCTCAAAGAACAGAAATAGATTCTGCAAAAAAATATTCATTCAACCAATTTTAAAGCTTCTCCTATTTTACACAACACTCACCCCTGCTCTAAGATAGACCTTACTCTTTTATTCAAGGCAGGCTCTGGAAAAAACTGTGGAAAGTATTATTGCTTGGAGAGTCTTTCTTAACATGAAATACCCACAGCCCGTAACTATGTATGGCAGAAAGAACTGAGACGTTTCTTTCAGGATATTCCTCCCTGGAAAGAAGGATAAGAACCAGTGAAAGAGATAAGCACTTTGGTGTTCCTGCTTTACATTTTTAATGTATCTCATGACCTCATTGCACAACATTGTGACTGCAGACAGAGGATCCCCACTCTGGAAGTCAGCGTAATCAAAACAGTCCTCCTACAGCCTGAGGACTGGACCCTGAATTGGGGCGAGTGAACCCAAATCATGTCAACATCAGAGGCTCTGACGAGTCTTTCTACTTCAGGATCACGCCCTCGGTAAGCTCTGATAGCAAAAGGTGGGAATATTTACCTGCAGCGCACACTCAGCTGGAAAGACTCCCTAGGTGCAAGTCCTACAGATGGTGAAACAAAAATGTCCTGGCTTGTAACAGAGGGATCAACAAGCCTCTCAGCTGACTGGATTTCCCACCTGCTTGGCGTTGCTATATAAGGCTAAAAGAAGCAAAGGGACGTGGGAAAAGGAGAAATAGTGACAGGAATGGGAATGTGAGGAAGGGAAAGATTTTAGCCTTAAGTTTTACACATCTTCTCCACACAAAAGCATTTGTGGAAGGTCCTTGCTAATCACAAGGTCCTCTTTCCTTTTCCGTTAGTTACAATTACCAGAGACTTCTCTTAAAATGCGTGTTTTAGGCACTAAAGCTAGAAGAGCAGTTTAATTCCATTCATTATATTAAAATTATCAAATAATATCAAAGGCTTTTATAGATCAAAGTATCACTCCTGAAAAATTTATATTTGTACTCTTAAGATTTCCCTTGAATACCAGATTTTTATATTCATCTATTTACTTGGCAT